ATGCCTAAAGCGCCTAAGCAATTTTTTTTTCTTCTAACCTAATGAAACAATGTCATTTAATTTATTATAAAAATTATATTAAAAAAATTAAATGTCAAGTAATTTCCTTAAATTATGCTTTTTCAAACATGATAATGAATAGAAAATTTTGTAATTTTTCTATTTATTTTGTACTTTTTAAAATTGTTTTGACATTTTTTTTCTTATTTTCTTATAATTATATCAAAAAAATTATTAAAAAAACTCCCTAGTCAGCCTAGACGTTGCACTTTAGGCTCTAAGTTGTGTGGGTATTCTTTTCTCCTTCATAAAGAAGAAAAGAAATTGGACAATGTTGGTTCGATTGGATATATATATATATATATATATGGGCTTTGATGAGCCAGCCCTTTTAGAATCTTAATGGGCCTTGATAAAATTTGTTTAATTGCAACGGCGTCGTTTGGCTGTTAAATGGAAATGGAAATATAAAGCCACGTTCAAGTGGATACCGTGCAGAAGCTTTAGAAATCTTTCATGCAGCGCAGAATGGGAACAATTTCTCCCCTGAAATTAGTGACAATTTTGTTTCAAATAACTAAAATTAAGCTAAAACGATTACAAGGGTGGAGTTCTACATAGTAGCCACATTTCTCTTCCCACCCACAAATTACAGCCATGATCAGGTTGACACAATCCTTGGGAAAAAAACATGCCATTAGATACATTTAGTAGCCAACATCCCACATCAACCATATGTTAGAAATAAATACGAAAAAAATAAACAGATGTTAGAAATAGTTGAAACTTGCCTCAAGGCAAGGCAATGACTTCAGACTTCCCAACGAATTTAAGAACTGCCAACCAATTCACTTAGTTCTTGCATCACATTGTCCATGGACGGCCTGTGCAAAGCAGAGCGATTTTCACTAGTTTAGCTGCCTCAGATTCTGAGAACTTCCCTTCAAGATTTGTCTCCATGAAATATTCACATCTGCTAGCCTAAGATACTTGGCGGATGATGAATTGAGTGACCTTACGCTTTCCTCAGATACATCACTCTTTTCCTAGTCAAACTGCTTGTAATAGAGGAGCAAGTTCAGGCTTATAGCTAAGAGCAAAGAGCTCCTTAAATTCTTACTTTTACCTTTCATTATCAATGACTTATGGCTGCTCATTATGTGGAAGATTGAAACAAATAGCTTAATTTATTGGATCACTTCCATGATCTTATTGGCTTAGACCTTGACTATTAATTGTACTGGTTTAACTTTTTTTCATTTATGCCTTAGGTGTTGATTGTAATGGTTTAAGTTGCTTGGTTTTGGGTGTTGGTTAAAGTACCTGTGCTTCTGCTATTGTTTTGTGTAGAAGATTTAGGCTTATAGTTAAGAGCAAAGAGCACCTTAAATTCTTACTCTTGCCTTTCATTATCAATGGCTTATGGCTGCTCATTACGTAGAAGATTGAAACAAATAGCTTAATTTATTGGGTCACTCCCAAGATCTTATTGGCTTAAACCTTGAGTATTAATTGTACTGGTTTTACTATTTTCATTTATGCCTTGGGTGTTGATTGTAATGGTTTGAGTTGGTTGGTTTTGAGTGTTGGCTAAAGTACCTCTACTTCTGCTATTGTTTTGTGTAGAAGATTTATTGCTTGGCTCATTCTCATAGACAACGATTTTGTATAGCCTTTTTCTTGGTCCACCCATCTATCAAGTTTTAAGAAAAATGGAACAAAAAGTATAGTGGTTAGTTATACTACTCAAAAAATTAAGAAATAAAAAATAGTATGTGAATGAAATAAAGTAGTAATTTATTGAAAGTAATTGAGTACTCTAACACCACCTATCCTTATCTAAGGGTCTATTTGGTATAATTATTAAAATTTAGCGGATAACAGGTGACAAGTAACAAAAAATAAATAGTGATAGCGAGTAGCAAATGATAGTTAATAAATAACAGATGACAAATAGCGAAAAGTGAGTAGTAAATAATAGATAACGGATTTAACTAATATAACTATTTAATTATATAATAGTTAACGGTTGTTATTCAATATTAAACAACTAGTAAACACATATTTAAAAACAATAAATGTATTAATTTTAACCACTATATAAAAAACACCCCAAAATTACAAATGGATTTTCTATCATTAATATTCATAATGAAATTAAAAAGCTAACATTAAATTTATTTATTATCCAATAAAAAATATCAATATATTAAAAATGTTTAAATTAATATTAATTTTTTTTTTGAACAATATTACATGGGGCGGAGTTGAACCCTGCCCAGGGAGTGGGGGAATGCATTGGGTGGTCGAAGACCACTTGGCCCAAAGGGCCGGATGCAAATTAATATTAATTTTTTATTTAAATTAATACATTAAAATTACATTTAAAACTTTCTTAACATATACTTTTAAAGTACAGATTACAGAAAACCGATTCCAAAACATAAACTTTAACAAGGGCGGTTCCCTGCTATAAAAGAATGCCTTAAACGCGAAAGATATGCTCCTCTCCCGATCTTCGGTCGATGTGCCTTATCCAACGGCCAGGCCCCTTCTTGGCGATCGAATCCCCACCATTAGCTGTAAGAACCATGCACCAACAAATTGCAGATATATAAAAACAAAGTCAAAAAAATTAGAGAGGAGGAATTAAGCAAAGCTAACTGATTTAACGGTGTCTATATAAGCT